GTGAATCGTTGGGCTCCTGCGTAGATAGACAGATACAAGTGCATTTAGTACAAAATATAAATCTTTATTTCGTATATCACCAGTTTCTTGTTATTTTAAGAGGAGAAATATCTTAAAATATATGGTCAAATAATAAGACAATGATTATTATTGACAAGCTCAGGACCGATTGCATTGAAATGTGCAGAAAGCAGAAACAAACGCCATTCGAATTCACTTGAAAAGCAATACAATTATATAAAATTGATCTCGTCTGATATTTTCATAGACTAGGTTTTAGTGCCCTCTAGAGCTCAGTGACGACGTGCACAACTGAGTGTTTACTGGCACGGCCAGCATTATTCGTATTAATTTATGAAATTTTCATTTGTTTGTCGTTATTACAACGGTGCAAAATAAATAGTAAATGCGATTCAATACAATATCTCAAATAAATCTAAATTTAGGGTATACAAAAAATAAAGTGTTAAGCCTTTCATTCAGAATCAGCTCACTGAACTTTGCGATGTGCTGCGCAGGAAAATGAATTTGTTCGCCTTTTAATCCTGCAGATTTTAACGTCTTTGAACACCAATAACATATATAATGAACATAAATGTAATCGGTCATAATAACGAATCAAAAACGTTCATAAAAAAAGCATAAAAGGAAAGGGGGAAAAGGAAAACAAGAAAAAGAAATAAAAAAAATGAGAGAAAAGGACAATACATACATTCAACTTAAAAAGAGGAAGTTAAGCCTTCGTAAACGTCCATAGCTCTGGAAGTGACCATAGGGACTTTTATTTGCGAAACGTACCAGGGTAACGGATTTTAGTGACGTCATCGCATCTTGTCCAATCAGAAAGCACTTGTGAAGATTCGAATGTTTATGGGCGGGCTTCGAACTCGCTGAGAGGGAAGTTCAAGCGCCAGGAAAACGTAAACAGTGGTTGTTTTTGCCGATTGCGTTTGGGAAAAATAGTTTTCACACTCAAACAAAAGTACTATTTGATTAAGTAATCGCCACAATTATTACATTTACAAGAAAGAATAAACAGTAAGTATCATGCATGAATATACTAATCCAGAATAAACTTGAATTTCCTTAATCGCTCGTTAGCTAGAGTGGCTAACGTTAGCCAGCATTGGAGGGAACAATCTGAAACCTGTATTAATAAAATCCCTCTGCATTTATTAAGTAAATCTGATATCTACCATTGTCCTTTATTTACGTCAGAACAAGTATAAAATTACTATACACAAACGATGTAAATGAATGTTTATGATATATCAGTTATTTCATATGTTTTTCATCCAGAACAACAACACGCTATGTCCCACAAGCAGATTTATTACTCTGACAAATATGACGACGACAAATTCGAGTACAGGTAGGCAAATATTCAACCCGTCTGTACAGTTTACAATTAATGTTTTCAGTTTTTATGTTTTGGAGTCCCTGAGACCGCAGTGCTAACTTACATGTACAAATAACAATAATCTGTTGTATCAAAAAATGAAGTTTCAATTTAGTTCACATTCAATTTCCATAAGTTTAGAAAAAGTAGAAACATGATACTTTAGTATTTTTTCTGAGCTGTTAAAATGACGTCATCTACAGATATTTATAATGAGAGTTTTGTTTTCCATTCATTTTCAGGCATGTCGTGCTTCCTAAGGACATTGCTAAAAGAGTTCCCAAGACCCATCTGATGTCAGAGACAGAATGGAGGAATCTGGGTGTTCAGCAGAGTCAAGGATGGGTACATTACATGATCCATCAGCCCGGTATGTGTGTGTTTGCTAGGATGTCAAAAACTCGCCCAAATATGTGCCATCTCTACTGTTGTCACCGTTGTCGATATACATGTTCTTGATTTCTTTTCTTTATAGAACCGCATATCTTGCTCTTCCGACGTCCTCTGCCTCAATCCCAGTGACTCCAGACCCACAAACTAATGGAATTCTGAAAACTGGACCCAATCTGAAGATGTCTGAGTCTGAGAGATGCTGGGTGCACCCGAGATCAGTTGGTGTAAATATCATTTGTGCTGCTTTTGACTTCTGTTTATTGACTATTCTGTGGGTCAGATTATCATCACTGTGCTTGATCTCTGCCTTAACTGAGATAGAACTGTGCGTAATTTCCTGCTGCACCTGTATATATTATTATTCCTTATCAAGCTTGTGTTACAACGATTCTGTATATGAGCTTCACTTGATGAATTTTTGCATTGGTGAATTGACTCCGAAAGGTCTAGCAGCATTGGAAATTGCTTTACAAAGTACACCTATTGAAAATAATACTTCATTTTTCTCCCTTTAAAGTATTAACAATGCTGTTTGTACCAATATCCGTGTCACCAGTACTAGTAAGCAGCTGAACCTGTTTTCTCAAAAATGTTTTACAAAGCCTCTCACAATAATATGTATAATTCTGTACTTATGTATAATAAAACTGTTTCAGCTTATCACTTTGGCTTCAACACCAGACCGTGACTAGAAAGAAAGCAAGAAGATTTACTTCTTTGCATTTATCTCAATGCTTTGCATTTATCTCAATGCACAGCCAGTGTAACTTGAATGTGCGAGGCTTCTCTTCCAGTTAATTTTAGTTGTACATAACAGCTTATGTTGCTTGATATTGCAAACTGGTATTTATATTATTTTAGTGTATTGTCATAATACCTAATGCATTACATATAACAGCTTGTGAATCTTAAGTTATGCACATTCACAGAAAATTGCTGACTTCTGTGTTGCAAAATAAGGTGAATATACTTCCAAGTGGTAGTTCAAAGCTCCATCGAGAGTGATTTTTTTTTTTTAGACCTTAAAAAAGGCTTATGCATTGTAATGCATCGATGGAATGGTCAGTAATTGTGGGATTGCGTGTAATGTTCTTAATTTGTAAGTCAGTTTGGAAAAAGACAAAAGGACCGGTTCTAGACATTTGTAGGCCCCCCACCCCCAATAAAAAGCACTTGAAACAAATATGATTCCTAACCTTTTTATTTATACAACATTTAATTTTAAATTTATTTATACAGTAGCGGTCAAAAGTTTGGACACATTACTATTTTTTTTTTAATTTTGGAAGAAGTCATGCTCATCAAGTCTGGATTTATGTAATCAAAAATACAGGGGAAAAAAAATGCTAATGTGAAATATTACAATTTAAAATAATGGATTTCTATTTTACTACACTTTAAAATATAATCGATTTCTGTGATGCAAAGCTGAATTTTCATCAGTCATTACTCCAGTCTTCAGTGTCGCATGATCATTCAGAAATCATTCTAATTTGCTGATTTATTATCAATGTTAGAAACAGTTGTGCAGCTTAATATTTATTTTAAAACCTGTGATACTTTTTTCAGGATTTTTTCTTTACTACCACTTTTGATCAATTTAACACATTAAACTTTAATGTATTTTTTCTGTATTTTTGGTCAAATAAATGCAGGCTTGATGAGCATGGGCAGGATTTCCCCCTCATATTCAATCAATACTGACTACAGATAGTCATATTATTAATATTAATAATAATAATTGATATTATGTATTGCATTGTTACCTTAAAGGGGTCATATGATGTTGCTAAAAATAACATTATTTGGTGTAATGAAATGTGTTTATGCGGTTTAAGGTTCAAAAAACACATTATTTTCCACATATATGTGGATATATATCCGGCATTCGTTTCATCCAGTGGGGACATAATTACGGATTATAATGACTTATACTGTCTTTTTACGCTTTGCGTTGCATCGCGCCGCATAAACATAAAACCATGTCTGCATTTGTGATCGGAGAAATGACAAACAACAAGCGCTACTCTACACTGCTCAAAACTCGCGTTTGAATCATCAGTGGCAAATTCTTTAAATATGAAAACGTACTTACAGTCTGTGAGTCAGAACAGCCGGCATTGTAGTCTACTCTACCAGGATCAGGAAACAGTCCTCCATAAAATGCGTTGCACACATCTGGATATTTGGGTTAAACTGTTCTGGAACAGTGTTGTAAATACAACTTAACCACTGATTTCTAGTCGTGTCCTCTTTTGGAAGACCAAACAAAGTATTTTCGCTTTCGCAACGAAACACACACAGTGTCTTCATAACATGGCAACAATAAAGTTGCGCCTTCTTTCTTTGCATGAATATTTGGGCGGCGTTATGCAAATCTTCCTACATTGTGACGTAGACATGTGGGGGCGTGTTTAAACGAGGTGTTTTAGGAGGGCGTGGACGAGTCTTAACTTGTATAAAGATTATCTCTTTGGGTTTGAGACTTTAGTCTTTGCAACTTTAGGGATCTTATCTATTCACGAACAGCTTGTAACACTCCAAAGAGAAAGGAAAACTTGAAATCGCATCACATGACCCCTTTAAATATGCACTATATACACTGAAAGTGTAAACAATCATCTATGAATACATGCCTATCATGGCATTCCTATATGAGGTCTATTCAGTATTATTCAGGAGCTTTATCAGTTGCTCAGAAGCAAATTACCCCTCTCCATCCCCAACTCCTCTTGTCACAGTCAAGACTTGGCTTTCTGATATTCCTTGTTTCCTGAATCAGACTCCTTTTATCTTGAATAACATTGTCACACTAAAATGTCATTAAGAACAATAATGTTATATGCTACATTTGGTTCTGTTCTGTTAACCCTAAGGGGGTTATTGCTGCTCTCCCCTCTCATTCATGACAAGCTGCATGGATTGGCAGGGAGTTTTTACCCAGAACAGAACCATACCGTCACTCCAAACTGTATTCTAAGTGTCAATCATTTGGTCCTGACAAAAATGTATTAAGGTTCTTGAAAATTAGACAGCCATGTTTTTAAATGTACTTTCCATGTTTTGCTATAAAACAGTTATAATAAAAACAACAAACCAGTATACAGTTTGTGTATCATGCAACCCTAAAATAAAACCCAAAGTTCAGAAATTTTATGAAAATTAATCTTCCACCAAATAAACATAAAAAAAAATAACAACACAAATACATCTTAATAAAAAATATTTGTTGTAAAACTAAAGAAAACATTGACTGAAAATGTGTTACACAATTGTTATGCTTCTTTCGTGATTTGTGCTGTTTCTCTTGGGCTTCTTATTGTTTGTTGAGCATCAGTCAGACAGTTGGTCTAGAAGTCTCTCCAGCTGTTCAATCTCTCTGGAGACATCTAGAAAAGATACGTAACAAGATATTACTTGAGGCAACGACTGAAATTAAGCAGTCAATACTTGACATTGCAAAAGGTTGTTTATTTGAACTTTCTGTGGTGACATCTTTACCCATCCGTGTCTTTTTGCCGGTTTGTGATTGTGAGCGTTCTATTGCTTCCTGTAGTTCATGTTCAAGAGCACTCTTTATGTCCAGCTTTACAAAGAAACAAGAAGATTCCATTTGACTTTAGTCATTGTACAGCTGAATACATGATCGTCTTAATGAATGTGAGATCAGTACCTTTAAGTTATTAAACCTTTTTAGCACTTCCATTTTTGCTTTGTTGAACATGTCTAGTTTTACATTATCGACTGTGGATATTAACAGATCTTGCTTTATCTTCATGGATCCTGTTCCTGTCACAGCTGCAGCTTCTAAAATAAACAACACTCAATGTTCATTCATTTTCTTTCTCATAGAGACACCTCAGAGCAAGGAAATAAATCAATTCTTGGATGTGCGTTTTATGAATTAAATTTATTTTCTGACATGCTGATTGGCTTTTCTTTTATGCAGTAAATAATTTATATGAAAATAATTCGTGATTATTTGTAACTCTTAATGCTAGCTTACGCTGATAGCAAGAAGCCATTTGATTCAAAATGGTTATTTTTATTGATGAGTAGATGTCCATCTTCATGTCAACAATGTCTCTGTTGAGCGCTGCCTTCAGTTTGGTTTCCTTTCAAAAGGGGAAAAACACAAAAAAGTCAGATAAATCTAGAAACATTAAGTCCCTGCTTATTTCAGTCCTACATTAAAAGTTTGTTTGGTGTATTTCAGTGCTTACTGGTTTATAAAAACAGCCTGCTTAATTATAAGGAATGAGGATTCACATGTGGCGCTTTTCCACTGTGTGGCTCAGAACGGCTCGCTTTACTTTGGCTCGGTTTGCTTTTACACTGCAGTTTAGTACCGCTTCCAAGTGGGTGGGATTATAGACTGAGCGTTATAGTTGTGCCACCACCTCGTCTGACCACGATACAGCCATTTATTTTTTCAAGTTGCGTGCGACGGTCGTTTAAAACAGTTGTGTGAACAAATGATACTGTGGTGGCTGTTGCTGACTATTTAAATCTAGTGGGTTTGGTGTCTCGTGTCGCAAATCCAATGATGCTGGTAGTGTCGATTCTCTCTGACCGATCAGTGATCTGCAGTGTTTACACGTCACATTTTAGTATTGATACGGCTCGCTTGGAACCTCAACTGAGGTGGTGCTAAAAAAAGTACCGGGTACTAAGTACTGTAGTGAAACCTGCCCAAAAGCGAGCCGTACCAGGCAGTGGAAAAGCACCAATAAACTTCAACAGAAGACAGACATGGAGGATCAGGGGCAGAGTGCGACCCATTAGTGTCCCCAAGAGGACAGCTGAACTCACCTCGATTTTGATGAAGTTATGAATGTAATGTAGTATGTCAGAGCTGGGGTAAGCAGAGTCACTCTGGATGATACTAAATTTATCAATCTGTTCCTGCACTGACTTCCCTGTTTTCCCAGTCACGCTGCAGCAAAAAAAAAAAAAAAAAATCAC